CTCTACTACTCTGCTTTCCTCGCTTCTCCTCATCTTTTCTTATTCATCATGCAGTCGTAACTTCAATTTTTATTTTTGCTGCCCCAGTCGGGCACGATATTACGCAATGGATGGACGTTCGGGTCGTTAACTTTGCCTCACTAACCTCTCAAGAACACTCCCCAAGCATCAGACAACTTCTCAAGGCTAGAGGTTTCTGCCATCTTGAATAATTGTATTTCTCCATAATCTTCGCTCTTCCTACTTTTCATAAAATTACAGCCCTTTTCTTCACCGGCCCATAAACCATCGCTCCACCTTCTCCAGCAGCATAGTCCGGTAATGGTTCGTTAATTACCGACCACGAACTCAAGAAAATTTTTCACCAACAGCTCTAGCAGATTCTCGCTGGCCTCATCAAAGGAATCATTATAGTTCTGGAACATACATCTTAAAGTTTCGCAAGAAAACCCGACACAGCAGGCGAACTGACAGCACCCCTCCTCTCCTCCTCTTCCATCTTGACAGCAAGACACGTCTTCTATCTCCATCCCATGTCCTCCCACGGCATCTTTCCTATCGAGGAAATCCTAATATATGATCCTCATTCCCAGGAGACTAGCCCCTTTTCTATCCATCTCTTAAGGATTGGTACCCGGGAGCGCATTATTCGAAAGTAACTGGAAAAAAATAAGAAGCATGGCAAGAGCTGCAACCAAGCTAACAGCTATAGCTATCGTAGACGGAGGATTGTCCCGGTTGTACTCATTGTCATCGAAGGTATTGTATGTAAGATGACGAAGGTATTGTGCCACTTGAGCTTGATCGGTAGCTGCATCTGTTGTTGGAGGCTAATTTGTTATATTATTAGCAAGCACTACATCGCCTGGGAATCGAGACTCACGAGGCCTGGGTCCATCACGGAGTATGTGGTTTAGATGCTTTTGGAAATGCCGTTCGCAGATGAGGCAGCAAAGATGATGTGGGTAATGGAATATTTACCGTTTTGAGATCAATTGGGATGTAAGTTTATAGTTGCTCTGCCTGCGTCGGAATTCCCAACCTCGCATTTCATCAAAAAGTCTTAGAAGGATTTCATGTGCCAACCGACCAATAGTAGACCGACCAACAGCAGGCCGGCCAACATGGCTAGCCAACCGTCTCGTCGATGCAGGCTTGGCAGGCTGACCTTACTTTTAGAAATATTAACCGCCAGGATCGTCAACTGCCCAATCTCGTCAAACGCCCACGCCCACTAGGAACAACAAAAGTTTCAAGGTTTTCTAACACGAAATGTTTCATACTAGGCGTTGAAATTGAATTTAGCCCAGGAGGAAGAGGCGATGCAAGGAAAATGTACAGTATCATGGTATGTGTTGCATACATCACATGACTACTGTGGATTTCTTTCTCGTCACACTTAGATCGTCCGACGTTGATGATCACAGAACAGAGCACAATTCGCACGTTTCGTGCCATCGTGCTCTGCTCGCCTGTAGTGTGTATCTTTCCGAACCACGAAATAGCGTAGAGACTTGGCTAGGTTATATGTGTCCTGATGTCTTTTTCTTTTCTGAAAATATTATTTGCAATCATTGGCGCAGCGGTCTGAAGGTGGCCACTAAACCTTTTTCTATGTCAGATTTAGTTAATATTACTAGATTAAATACACCCTGATGTTGGAGCTTTCGAAAATGTTGGTAGTATTAGGCGGAGTAGCGGTCTAAAGGTGGTCGCTAATCCTAGATCATTTGCTTAGGGGCAGATTTCGTTTACTGCGATCTTCGCCATTATGGTCTCTCCGCAGGAACCTGCATTCATGCCTCGATTTTGAACATAGCCTTTTAGCTAATCATAGATGTTGGTAAACTGAGCCTCTTATTGCGGATGTTAGCATCGTGAAGGATTGGGCTGTGGAGATTGACACTTTGGATCCCTTGATGTTACACTTCTTTTCATAGATGTTGGTAAACTAAGCCTCTTGTTGCGGATGTTAGCAACGTGAAGGAGTGAGCTGTGGACATAGACACTTTGGATCACTTGATGTTACACTTCTTTTAAAAACCTATAAGTAAGAGACTTTTGCCTGTGTAATAGATAATATTTCTGTTCATAAAATTCACTCCATCTTACATTCCATTACACCACTGCCATCATGAAGTCATCAACCCTTGGAGCAATTCTTGCCATGTTCGCAACAGGCATTGCTATTCCTACTGCAGAACTTATTAAGATTTCCAAACGGAATCCTTGCGATGGAGTCAACGCTACCCCAGTGCTCTACCATCAGTATGGGGCCGATGTTTGTCCCCCAATAAATACGATAGCTTCTAATGGCGATTGCCCGGGTCTTGACCCTTATAAAAACGATTGTGCATCGTTCTGCCAAGTCCGTAAGTAGCCCTGGTTCTGCTGAGTAATATTAAACTGTTACTACGACTGCTTCTCTGCCTTCCTTTTTCCCCCTTTTTTAAAAAAGAAGGGGGGGGACTGTATTCTAAGGTTAAGAGAAAGTACGAGTGCTAACGTTTTATATCCTTTAGGAACGAATTTTGTATATGGTACCGAAGTACCATTTGCCAACTCTTATTGCCATGGCCCTTTCACCTGCTCAATCGCTGAGACGAAAACAGTGACTGTCACATTCAGTTCTACTATTACCTCTGAAAAACTTAAAGCACTGGGTTTTGGAGTTACAGGTGGCTTTAGCTATGGCACGGCAACGGCGAATGCACGCACCTATTCAATTAACCTGCCACCCGCTTTCTGTGGATATTTTACCTTCGTACCTGTACAAAAGGATACCTGGTACGTATACCCTTGATCTCCATTCCATTTTTACCGCTAGAACTTGGCTGACTCTCATTCCTCTACAGCGGTACTATGACAACAGCACAAGTCGAGTGGATAGAGGCAGGTGGACCAGCTCCAGTACCATGGTGTGGCGTCTCCAGCAGTATTGGAAACTATTGTGCATCAGAAGCTCGCAAGAACAGCGACGGCAGTGTTGACGGCGAAACAATCTTCGTCAAGACAGATTGCAACACACGGGAGCCACTGCCTCTTGACGAACAAGATCCTGTGTACCAAAATCCGGGGGTCCCAATGGATCGAGGCCTTCTCTCTACTATCCTCTCATCTTGGTCTGACCCAGGTCCAGCTCCATCGGCGCCCTCAACGCCACCACCGCCTCCGCCGTCAGCCCCTGACATGTCGTCACCAGCTTGTGTGACATGCACGAATACTCTTGGGGACAGTAGTTGTGCTGCAGCTGATAGCCAATGTCTTATCAACCAGTGCAAGAACGACAGCAATTGCCAGACTTGCGGAATTGATTGCACTACTGTTGGCTAAGAAAAGAGGAGAAGGTTAAGTTAGAAGACTGTTATTCCCTTGCTTTGTTGTTTTGTAGCATATAGATTTTCATAGTGTATACCATGTTATAGGAGATCAAACGAGGTCTTAAAAAATGAACCAAGTAATTTTTTCCCCTCCTAAACATGCTCTTTCTGTACAAAAGATCCGCTACTTTGCGAGGACGTGAGCCGCGCTATTACAATTCTATTCTACCATTAAGTATAAATACCCCTCTCTCCCACTTTGGGTCTATATGATCCATTAAAAACAAAAAGATGTTCAACGTTTTCCCTTTCTTAAAAGGCGAGAAGCACGAAATAATTCGGGAAGGAAATTACTAGCTTGACGTTTGGGAATCTTGATAAAGTTTAAGGTTCGTAGTCACGCCTTAGGCTTAAAAGTCCAGATATAAGAACGGGAGGAAGGAAATTTGACAGTAACGAGCTTGGTGATAATAGCAATCAGGCTACCTGAATATTCAAGACCCTCTTCTTCCACTCAAGCTCTTAGCTTTGCTAGTCAACTAACCTCTCCACTCTCCTTATTATGTGAATTTGATCTAGAATGATTTCGGTATTATTAATAATTTCACTTAGTAATTATATAATAATCGAATATCTTTATTTCTAGAAATAATCTCAAGGAGTATTATATTATAATTACTAGAATTAAAGAAAGTTTTAATGAATATAAATTAATAATCAGTATTTAAGAGTTAATTATTATATCTTACATTAATTATTAAAATGTATTTTCAATATAGATAGCTTAGATTAATAATCCTTTGCGATCTTCAGAACATTATCAATAGTATCGTTGGGAGAATCAGCAGAATCCTTGAGAATGTTGTAGTCTATCAAAGTTGCTGAATGGTGGGCGAATCCTCGAGAACACGCTCCGTAGATGCGGAGACGAGCAGGAGGAACCAAAGATAGAGGCGCAGGAGAGGAAGAAGTGTGGATTAATGTACGTTCTGTTTTTTCCACATAAAACCTAAAACTTATGTACTGTACGAAGACGAAGTTGAAAATTAAAGGTCTGAACACTAACCGACATCAACCCCTTTCCTCTCCACACAGAGCTGTAAATCTCCTCCCCTCCCCATCCCCTTTCTCCAAACCACTATACAAGACAAAGTATCAACGGCCGGCTCTCAGATCCACAATACACCCATCCATTCCCCTCATCTCACCCCGTTCTCAGATCCAGAGCTAAGAGCAATGAAAATCTATACAGGGGCCTGCCACTGCGGAGCTGTGATCTAGCTGTGATATCGAAACCGCTTCCTGAGGTAGAAGTTAGGGAGGACGACTGCGCTATCTGTGGCCACTGGCTAGATACCGTCGACGACCGATGTTCCTGGTACCGCTCGAATGGTTCAAGAACAGCTTTTCATTTTTCACTCCCTCTTCACATAATACCTTATCCTTATCTCTAACTGACGAAAAGCCGCCCTTCCAGAATCCAATTCCCCAAAAAGCTATATATAATATTAAAAGATTCATCAAGTTATCAACAACGCTCCCCCCCCCCCCCCCTCAAATTTTTTTTTGTAAAATATTTCTTTCCTCGCCTCACTAAACGATTCAACCACCATCACGACCAGCCCAAAAGTGCCAAAAATAAATAAATAATAAATGTCTAAAGATGGGCTTTTTTTTGGATGCCCTCGGACGGAATCGAACCGGCAACCTCGTCATTCCATTACTAGTGACGCGCTCTACCATTGAGCTACGAGGGCTCGCTATGATTTGAATCACACTTATCATCCATCATTAATTATTAACACCCCACACATTTCCTCCTATTTCCGTGTTTATTACTACTTTACTACCTCATTTCCCCCCGGTTCTGGCTTCTTCCTTCCTACCTTAGCTATCCACTAAATGGCTCAAACTACTTGAGTCTTAACGGCTGCTGATTTGGCTCATATCTCTGTTTTTAACCCTGAACTCTCCACTCCACATATTTAAGCACCGTAATCTCCACTGCATACCCTCACTCCATCTCCATCCACCCCACTCCTTTTCTGCTTTCGGCTTGTAAATACACATGTAGACTTGCATATACATACAACCGTAGATCTTGCAGAATGGATGATTTTTACTGCGCGATCTATTTCCGGGGGGTGTATTTTGTGGCGGTGGTGGTACTGTATGGGTTGGTGGTTTTCCGTGCCTGTGTGATGATGGATGTTTGAACGAGTGGACAACAGGATGGCGGGGTTGTCGTTCTGTGGAGCGAGGTTAGATTTAGAAGTACACGTATAGTGCTTAGGAGTTTTAGGAGGATTGGTAAAGGGAGGAAAATTGATGGGGAAAAGGAAGACTCACCCGCCGACTGGGTGCATCAAATCACAACACGAAGGCGGAAAAGAGTAGTTGTAGCTGTGCTCAGACAAATGCTGATATTCACATCCAATACATATATACATTATTATCTATCTAAGTATGTGTGCCAGCCTCATAACGGCTTGTCACAAAAGAACATGCAGCATGCAGAAAGAGGGTATATCCGAATCCAAAGAAGCCAAAATGCCGTAGCGAGGAACAGGATCCAATCCATTCTCCGGCAAAAACCAAGCATGCCATATAATCCAAAATAGCTGAAAGGGTATAAGTATGTGGCACCGGCCAATCGCCAAAAATGCAAAAACGGGTGCCTGCCAACCCCAAAAATGCGAAGTATAGGTCCCAGTAATAATATTCGTAAGTTTCAAACCCATGATAGGGAAGTAAAGTCTCTTGCGAGATGATCGTTGTGAAGTTGAAATATCGGAAGAGGAAGTCGAGTCCAATAAATGGGACATTTTTCGTGGTGAAAGACTTGCTGGTTCTTTTCCCAAGTGTTGTGTGGTGAGTGTTAATGGAGGCGAAGGTCAACCCATCATCATTAATCTCGTCGTCCGTCGCTCCATTTTGTTACTTCCTCCGCCTGCACTCCCAGGCCCTAAGAACCTCCCTTGTTGCGCCCTCCTGAACGCATCTCGTTCGCAATAAACCTTGCCGTTCATCTCGAAATGTTGGTTTCGTAATGTCCTTTTGCAGTCTGCGCAAGTCAGACATTGCGGGTGGAATTTTTGTTGACTCTCGCTTTCGAGATATTGACCTTCGATGCCACGGTCGCAAGTGGAGCAGATGCTGCCGTTAAGCTTGTGGTAATGATGCTCACAGTATGGGGCGTCATTAATTACGTAGAAGGTCGACGTTTGGAACGGCTCGCTACAAGTCTTGCATCTAAAGCATTGCTTGTGATATCGTCCCGTCAGACGTCCATCTGCAGAAGACACTGAGCGCCCTTTGATTGGCTCGCCGCAGCCTTTGCAGTCCCCCTTTGCAGTTGTAGGACGGCGCACGGGTTGGCTCTCGGATCCTGTTCGTAGACGTTCTGGGTTGCGTAACGGCGAGGGTGAGAGGCGACCTCCTTGGATTGCCGGGTCCATGGGCGATTCAGGGGAGAGCCATGCTGGATTAACCGATGGCGGGAGTCCGCGCGCATATTGTTTCTGCCGTGGTGGAGACGTTTTGACGTCTCGGGGGTTTAGCTGCGCCATTGAGGACTGTAAATCAGCCATCAATACATCCACCTTCGATGATTCGGATGGCTGGCGGCTAGAATGCCCGGGGCCAGTAGATTGGGGCGGACTCGAAGTCGAGCTCGCTTTACTTGCGTTGCTCGAGCCCGATGCATTCGAAGATTGCGATTCCGACGGTGTGTGGTACGGATTGCCAATACCAAACTCTGCAGCCAGATTGACGTTTGTCGGGACAGGCGGTGCATCACCAAGTCTCCCATCTACTCTTGATCCGCTCAGACTTGGTGCTCGCGGAGGAGGCGGCCTCGAGGTATCTGGACCAGACATTGACTGTTTCCGTCCTCTCGACCTTGGAGGAGATCTGCTGGTCGATTGCTCATCTATTCTCTGTCTATCACTTTCATTCGATGGTGTCCGTGCTCGGGCGACAGGTCCAGGCTCAGATGGCCTCCTCGTGAAAGGTTGCTGGTCACTTCTTAGGGGAAAAGTTTGGGATCGGTTGTCAGCCGACAGAGGTTCGGGGTCTTTAGTCCCTGGTGGTCCAAACCCTCCATAACCATTATTCCTTGGAGCTCTAGGAGGCGGCATAGCAGACCTTGATTCATGAGAGCTATTTGATGATGTTCGGGAATGTCCAGGTCCCGCTGTCGACGGACGTCGAATACTAGAGCCAATTTCACTGGTGGCCGAAGAAATTGTCATATCCGCAAGACTGCCAATAGTTCCTTCTTTCTTATGACTCCTATTTGATTTTGATTCGGTAGATCTTCCTCGGCGATTGGGATCAAAAGGACCAGGAGCAATTGTGTTTGCTCGTTGCAAAAGTCCTCCATCAGTTGCCGTTCGGGGACTCATGGGAGCATATTTCGAATCCGCCTCGGCAAACCTACTTGGTCCCAATCTACCATTTCCTCCTCTTGACTGCGATCGAGTCTGCGCTGGCGCCTTGGCCGGCGGAAAGGGTGGAAAGGGTGAGTCTAGATTCGAAGAGAGCGGCTCGGGAGATGGTGGACGACGTTGTACTGGTCTGACTGTAGCACTACGCATGGGTTTTCCGAAAGGCGATTGACGTCCATCGCCAGGAGTCAAAGGGGACACACTTCGAGATGTCGACGGGCTCACAGGTGTTAGTTGATCCTTGGGAGGAAAGAATGGACGATCTGGAAAAGTCAATATAGAATAAAAAAGACCTATAGAAGCACTTACTCGCAGCTGAAGTGTCGACTTTGGGTGGCATCGACCGTCCCGGCTTTAAGAAGCTAGGACCATTCGTTGGATTTGATTTATATGATGTGGTAGAAAAGATGCTATTCGAATCCGGCGGAGGAGTTGCTGTGGTTATTTAACATCTACCTGGAGATTCTGCAAAAGGAGTACTCACGCTCTCCAGATTCACCACATACATGATCTCCCATCTGGGAGATCTCGATTTCTCTAGCACACATAGAACATTTTATCGTCGGCAGGAAGCTCGACGCACTGTCCATACCCGCCATCTTGGTGTCTTGATTGGACCTCCAACCACACCTTCGATGCCGCTCTTGTTATGAATACATACGATGCGGCTCGAAGTACCCAGCGGCCAGAGAAGTCGATATCAGTGGAAGCCAAGACCCTGACTCGGACACGTATGCGTCGAGTCCAAGAATATTCTAGATGTCCAAACACCCCACGATATCATAAAAGCGGCAGTTCGAAGCTCTGGTCGTCAAGTTGCGGTGAGCGTGGTTCGAGGGTCACGCTTGGTGTGGAGAAAGCGCTGGGGTAGTTTGTGATGCAGGTCATATAGGTTCGTTCGTCTTAGTCGCAGATCATAAAGATGTTTGAGATGCAGCAGATAACATTCGCAGATTGAGTGGCGGTAGGGACTGTGGGCAAACAATCGTCGATTCACGAGGCTTGAGAGAGAGTAGAGATACTGTGTTAGAGATGCGTCTCGAGGACAAGTGGAAGAGGGTGTGCAGGACGATCCCCTGCGAATTGACAGGCCTATCCGTGCAATCCGGGCTCCACTGCTTAAACGAGTCTGCCGCAGGGCACAGGGGTGGCGGGACTGCTGACACTTTTCTCCACGATTATCGAGATATTTGATGGGTGCAAAAATTAATGCTGGAAATGCGAGAAGCTATGATTTTTTTGATGGAGGTCGGCTGGCGCTGCAACTTTTTTTTATTCTGGCTTCCCTACGCCGTTCTAGCTGGGTCTAGCTCTGGGCGGAGAGAAAGTGAGGGTTCAACTGCAGGTGGTGGTGCCCGTGTTGTTAGACTTGTTCTAGATGAGCACACCCCCTAGCACCCTCTTGGGTTTGGTCTTGGGAAGAGGCGTTCGGGGGCGTTCCTAAAGCAGAGCGCCTAATGCAGACTCAGGCACCGGGGGGGTCTTGACAGGGGCCAGCGCTTGAAGATGCGAGGATGCGAGGATGCGAGGATGCGAGGGTGAGAGGCCAGAGGGGTTCTTGAGGAATTACAGCAACCCATGAACCGGGGCCATGATTCCATGAAGCAGTGGGCATAGGTCGGTCAGACTGCGGGTCTGAGGAGCGGCCGGTGATCTGAAGCAGGGTCATGATGTTACAGTACATACAGTACGTGCAGCATCGCAGATTCGCAGCCACCGACGATTCGTTGTGCACACCTCTTTCCATCCCTCGTGCAATTTGAGGGCTTCCATGATTTCCCATCGTCTTCCCAATCACGGGGCTCCAGGGGCACCAGCGAGCGAGCCTTCCCTCCGCTGTCCGCCCCTCGCAGTCCCGCTGGCTCCCGATGGCTGGCTGCTCCACAACTACTTTCATACGTTTCTTGTGATGGTTGTTAAACATTCGCCAAAGGGAAATTTGCCCCCTGACGATCTTTGCGCTTTTCACTCAGATGTTGATCTCCCATCTTGTATTACCATTGACGGTTCCACGATTGCGAGGATTGCGTTATCTGACCAACACCATCCATCGCATCACGGGGTGTTCGTTGTTTATTTCACCGGCAGCGATCTCGAGGCAGTCATCGACATCCAACTCTTGCTTGCCCCGCCAGCTCATTTCGTGGTGGCTGTCCTGTGCTACTCCGCGTCAAGCATCGCCGATTGGTCTCGCATATTTACATCAATTCCGTCTCGATTGCCCATGAGAATTCCAAGCGCTCGAGATCGTCACTTGCCCAGAGGGCCAGAAGTGGCGAGAGCGCTGGCCACATGATGATGAGGCACTC